TAACATTTGCAAATGTGATTAAAAGAATTTATTATTTTTACAACTGTATTCAGAAAGCTGGCAGAAGCAGACACTCCAGTGCTTACCTGTTTAATTTTGTGTGGAATAGCATAGCCAGCATCGCTGCTAATGTTTATTTTTTTATCAATAACCTGATAGTTTGGATCTGGTTCCTTTTCTGTGTCTGAAGGGTATGTATCCATGTCCTCATCCTCACAACAACTGCCTGATACTTCCAAAGACTGCCCAATGCTCCTGTCAACCATTGCTCTTCCAGTTGTGACTGCAGGCAGAAAATGCATTAAGGGATATGAGTCACATACCCTCTCAAGTCTCCAAACCCTCGGGTCCCTTCCTACTCCACAATTCTATGATTTCATGAGTCTTGGGTATGTGTGATTTCCATACCCTTCTTCTCATGTCCTGAAGATCAAAAGCATCTGATCTGGATTTTAAATTACCCACAATTCCATAAGATGTCCCAACTGTAAACAAACTCATTTGTTTAAACTATGGTTTCAGATCCTAGCTTGTTCTCAAACCATAGCTTAAACAAATCACAAATGGAAAACAGATGCTTTCTATTTTCTTCTTTGGAAAGCAAGAGAGATAGAGGAGAGGGTGAGAATCCAACACTCACACAGGAACATTCATGTTTCTTATTATGTCTGAAGTGGGCTATAAAATCTTGGACTCTTTAACCAGAGGAAATAAAAGTTCTATTACAACTTTTCCAACAGTTCTCATCAATACATGCATTATATCCTACCGCATTCGCAGCTCAGTGACTGTGGCATATGGCTCAATATAATTTTCTTGATCTTGCAAGTAACTGGCATCACTCTCAGAAAGAGATCGTTGACGTGGCTGAGGGATGGCAATGGTCCGTCCAGTTAGGGTTGTCACAGAATAGCTGCGGCCAGAGCGGATCTGGAAAATAAAAATAAATACATATTTAAGCGTTTACAATGGCTTAGACATTTTATCTCATTTCTGACAGGAATAACCTAAATGTTATTGTGTATAAGCAACAGAAGCTGCAAAATAAATATAGTGGAGTGGGCAAACTGCCACCTTTCCTTTCCATTTTTGGTAACATACCTTGAATCATTAGGAGCTTAAAATGTAAAGCCCTATTTTGCAATCAGATGTGGACCGAATTAAGTCTTCAAGGTAATATCACGTGCCTCCCTCTTATCAACTATGGGAAGAAAGGAGCCTTGCACATACTGGCTAGTTTTTTCAGCAAACTATGCTCATGCATCTGTGGGGCACTAAATCACAGGATCAGGCCATCTCCTCACCCTTCTTTCTTTCTTTCCTTACCTTGAAGAACAAAATGTGAACAAAATGAACCTCTGAAGCCTTTTCTGGACTGTACCACTTCACCCAGCAGGCAGGATGCTGTGTATCTGAATACTGGCTCACAATTTTCTTTGTGAAGGAAAGGATGCTCTTTTTTATGTTGAAGAACATTCAAGCATGAAACCTGTGTCTGAAGGATTACAGTCCAAGAAAAGCTCCACCACCACTTGATTCTCCTACATGCCTACTCAGAAATAAGTCTTACTGAACTCAACAGGACTTACTTTCAGCCCTGATTGTATAAATTTGCTAGAAGATGCTGCTGTTTGTGAGCGTGATTTTGAAAAGGTAAAAAAGGGAGGAAGAAAGGTGAGATTAAAAAATAATCAGAAAGCAAAATGAAGAAACAGTGATTCTTTTAAAAGTCAAAACAAAAGGTTAATAATGTTTTTAAAGGATTGTATTTTACATTAGTACATTTTTCTGGGTTAAAATAATTTAAAAACAAAAGCATTTCATTACTCTTATTTGTCAGATAAACAATAATAATCTTTGTAAGTGATCTCTTGAAAACACTGATGTTAAATTTAATTTTATATAGGGCTGCAACGTGATTAAGAAATTTTAACTTAGTCCCACAATTTATCAATTAAATTTGCATGTAAAACAATATTTCTGAAGCAAGAAGCAAACTTTCTATGTTTTTAGCAAATGCACACATGTATTTCTCATGTGTGAGAGAGAATATATATCTCCATTGATGGCCTGATTGATCAGCAGCACTTTTAGTCAATTATTTTTAATCACTTAATCCAACTGTAATCTGCACAGTCCCCTCACACATTCTTTGAATGTGTGAGGAATGTTGTTTGACCCCTTCTAACGTAATAGAAAACAAAGCTGCAGTCTTTATTATAGTATTAGGGAATCATCTTCAACCATTTCCACTGTGATCAATACAAGCACACCAGTGTAATGTATACATCAACTAGTTCTTGCAAAGGACGGAGAGTTAAAAAAAAAAAAGCCATATATTTGTGCTGCTAATTGGACTGTTCTGATCATTGCTTTTTTGTCACTCATCAGTTTTTTTTTAGCCATCCTCATTACCAATTTAAAATTAATTTATAATTAACATGTTCAAATGGTTAATGACTTCAAAGCTGCAACCCTACATATTATTGGAATGTATTAGGTTTATGTTACAGCTGCAAGCAAGAGAGAGGCATGCATTTTAAATATATATCTATATATATTCTATGCAATGAATGGTAATCAAGAGATGAAAAACATTAAGACCTACCTGGGCCTTTCTGGAGAAGGGTTTGGACTACGAGGGGGAGGGGTGCGGGGGACGGCAGCTTTAGGTGCTATGGTAGCTGCAGGGATCAGGCCATGAGCTATATGTTTCTAGACAATTTAAAATAAAGTTAGTTGGCAATGACTGACCAAACACAATGGAGAAACACAAAACTAAGTATGCACAATGACTCGAAACAACACAAAAGGGGAGAGAAATTACATGCAAATTAATGTACGTATTGGATCCAGGGCCATAGCACTAAAGAACAGGAGCACTCAATATTGCAGCATGGCAACTGAACAATGAAAGTGCAAAACACATGTATTTGGAACAAATGTTGCAGTCCTGTCTGTATTTACTTAGAAGAAAGTTCCTTTGAAAACAGTGGTACTTAACTGCTAAGTAAATATGCAAAGAATTGTATTATTAGGTCTCATTAATTTCATACTTTTAAGTATGTGAATAGAATCCAAAGAGGACTCAGTGCACTTAGTTATATATATAATTTTACTTCATTTTAAAAGAGAATACTACTATGCTATATTACAAACTGGTTTGAAACTCCTCTTGGGAAACTGCTGTGAAAGGAAAACAAGCCTGAAATCTTCTGGGTGAGCAAAACTGGCTTGAGAGTTCTTAGATCCTTAGAGACAGAGACTTGACATGTTTCATATGAAATATTTAACCACTTGAAAGCCATATTGCTGAGTACAGCTGTTGGCTTTAACTGGCTTTTTTTCAGGATACAACCAAAGCTTTCATTTATTGAAAGTAGGCAGTCACTTCTAACTATCAGGGTAGTGAGCTATACACATTTCTATTTTAAAGGCCATTTACAGAAGCATATTCTGTTCCCTGCCCCACTCCCATAAAACTGCAATATTGTACAGCCTTACACATCCATCAAATACTTCTGAGTAAGTATGCACAAGAATAGGGCTCACTTGCATGTTAAGATAAACCATAGTTATTGCTACTGTATTATATTTATTACCCACCCTTCACCAGAAGCAATATAAAATACAGTATTAAAAGCAACTTAAAACAAATTGCAGTCACTACTAGGTTGTGTCTTAGAATGCTATATCTCAAAAGTCAAATATCTGGGTAAAGTGTTGTGTCTTTAGTATACCATGAAAGTTGTGCCATGAACGTGCCAGACATACCTCTGTGGGGAGAAAATTTGACAGCTTATGAGCTGCCACTGATAATGTGCTCTCCTCAGTTACACACAACCTTGAACCTCTGAGTGTGATGGAACTACCAAGATCAGCCCCTCTTAACACCTGAGAGGGTCTGCACCTTAGTGGTCTTTTAGATATTTGGGGGCTATGTTGTTTAGGGCTTTTAAACACTCGCATGAGAACCTTAAACTGGGCTGGAAACAAGCTAGCAACCAGTGCAGCTGTTTTAAAACAGAAGTTATACGAGTTCTAAACAGGACTCCATCCAGTAATTTGGCCACTCCATTTTGGAACAGTTTAAGTTTCTGAGTTGTTTTCAAGGGCAGCCCCATGTAGAGCACATTGTATTAAGGCAGTCTGGAAGATATCAGAACATGGACTACAGTGGTGACACAACAGGACAATTACCATACTGGTCTTGCCCATTCTGCTTCCTGCAGCTAACATGCAACAGAAATAAACCCACAATTCCTGGCAACAGATGCAATACTGGTCAAATATTCAAAAAGTTGCAATTATTGCCACAAAGCAATTATCAGTGGTGTGTACTTTGAAACCTGTGTTGCTAGTTTCTTATGTTGGATTGCTTATTGTTATAGATCTGGGGGAATCCCCCTGGCCTAAACCCTAGGAATGAATAAATATTATGATCTTGTAACAACATTTTTTAAATAAAAACATTATTTTTTTCTGGTCACTGTTCATAGGAAGCATATTTATATTAAATGCATGGCTCTTCAGGCATGGTAAAGTTAACACCCAAAATGTTCAGTTGTATTTTGATCTTGGATGAAGAAGATTAAACAGGATGACTGTCCTGGAAATGCTGCAACAACAGTAATAGCTTAATACGGATGTCCACCCAGTGTGGGAAAGGAGCCATCCAACTTGCAGTATCGCTCTGCATACAGGAAGTCCCCCGGGGCCTCTCCAGTTAAAGCAGATCCTGAAGCAGCAAAGACTGGGAAATAACTTTGCCCTAGTCCCTGAAGCACCACCACAAGTCACAGTAGGCAAAGGCGGACGAGGTGCATGACTCTACGTATAGAAACTTCATGCCTTAAAAAAATTACACTATTCGCATGAGAACTTCCCTTTCTAGAGCAAAATGTCTTGTTTCTAGACTTATTCTTAGGTTACTGGCGTGTCCTGAAGACACAGAACAGGGACATTGCTAAGTATGCAAGGCTTTCCTCATCTCTCCCCTTCGGACAAGTTTTCCAGTGGGACGAGAGTGGCAGAGGAAGAGCTTCTCGGTCGCCATGGCAACCGGCGCCCCTGACCAGACACGGGGGGGGAGGCGCGGGGGGGGACTACCCTTCACCGAACCAGCACCAGACCCCGGCCCTGATACTCACGAATTGGCCCCTCCGGCCGCTCCTGAAGCGAAGCGCCATGTATGCGGAAGAGGGTTGAGCAGCGTACGCAGAAAAGGACGGCGAGGGAGAGTCTTCGCCGCCGCTGCCGCCGCCGCCTGGAAGCGGGGAGAAAGAAGCGATTCCGCCCGGGCAGCAGAGACGCTTCCCCTCTCGCAACCACGCCGGAACAAGCCGCGCGGCGATTGGCCAAGGCCTCCCGCTTCCACCAATCGCCGCTCGCTTTACTACTTCCGCCTTCCCTTAGCAACCGGGCAGCCGTTGAAGGAGAAGCCCCGCCCACTCCTTCTCTCGTCGCTCGCTCGCTCGCGCGCATCTTTTCGTTTTGTGTTTTGACGGGGGGGGAGCTTTGAGTTGCGATTGGCTGGTTGGCCCGGTGTCCGTCATGCGCAGAGCGCGCGCGCTGCTCAAAGTTGGGGCGCGTCTGTCTCTCTTTCTCTCTATCTCTCTCTCTGGAAGCGGAGCTGGCGAGGATTGGGTGGGTTTTGTCGGGAAGGGGGGGGGTTCTTTAACCTCCACCCACCCTCTTTTATTGCAGGATACAGTGGTACCTCAGGTTACATACGCTTCAGGTTACAGACTCCGCTAACCCAAAAATAGTACCTCGGGTTAAGAACTTTGCTTCAGGATGAGAACAGAAATCGTGCTCCGGCGGCGCGGCGGCAGCAGGAGGCCCCATTAGCTAAAGTGGTCTTCAGATTAAGAACAGTTTCAGGTTAAGAATGGACCTCCGGAACGAATTAAGTTCTTAACCCGAGGTACCACTGTGGCTGTTGCTGGGTGGGCGCCTGTATTTTCAGCCCTGCGTGTGGCGTGATCTCTCTCCTGCCTTAAAGCAAGGGTCTCCCAACCAGGGTTGGATTTAGGTTTGATGAGGCCCTAAGCTACTGAAGGTAATGTCGCTGTTTTTTTGTGTTGAATATATAGGTAAAGGTAAAGGGATCCCTGACCATTAGGTCTAGTCGTGACCGACTCTGGGGTTGCGGCGCTCATCTCGCTTTATTGGCCGAGGGAGCCGGCGTACAGCTTCCGGGTCATGTGGCCAGCATGACCAAGCCGCTTCTGGCGAACCAGAGCAGCGCACGGAAACACCGTTTACCTTCCCACCGGAGCGGTACCTATTTATCTACTTGCACTTTGATGTGCTTTTTTGAACTGCTAGGTTGGCAGGAGCAGGGACCGAGCATCGGGAGCTCACCCCGTCAAGGGGATTCAAACCGCTGACCTTCTGATCAGCAAGTCCTAGGCTCTGTGGTTTAACCCACAGCGCCACCCGCGTCCCTGTTGAATATATACTATAGGGTAATTTATGGACCTAATAGGTATCTAAAGCCATTTGCACATAACAAAAAGCTAGCAGCCGGGCCCATTATTTACATCATAGGAGCCTACACAACACAAAACACTGTTGCTGTATGTAGGTTTTATTTTATTTGTTTTATATCTTATATTTTGGAAATGTACCTTTTTTTCCTTTAGATTTTTTTGGGACCCCCATTGATTAGCTTATACATAAATTCGGCACCGCTGCCAAACTTTACTGGACAACCCGGGTGCACATTTTGAAAGATGGCAGCATGTACAGAGGGTGTGGGAGAGGAGAATAGTCACAGGACAGCTGCCATGATGTATGTGGCCTAAAACACAGCCACTATGTAGGGGGGAGGCATGGCACCATAAAATTGGAGAAAGTGCAATCATGGTGAAGCTTTTCATATAGCTGTACTGCATTTCCATATTTTAAAAACTGCTCGACCTGACGAATTTCTGGCTAGAAAATAAGAAAGTGTGTTGAAGGGAGGTGAAAAGCAGCAGCTCTTGAGAAATAACACACCTACCAATTGCAGCTCAGACTTCTCTCATAAGCAGGCAGGAACAGTTAGGTTTCCTACTCTCACAAAAATCAATTAGAAGGGTACCTGCATGTTTTGCTTTGTAACTTTCTGTGGGGAGGGGGCTAGATTTTAAAAAAAGAAAACAACATCTGGAACCTCTGCTTGGTGGTGCCAATAAATGCCATTGTAGGCACTTGGGTTGGTGACCCCTGGTTTACACATTCCTAATTTTTGTGTCCAAAATTGTGCTATGCAGGGCTTTACAGATGGAGTATATACCAGAAAGAAATAAAAACCTCTGACAGATGATTTGTTTATTAACCCAACAGCCCAGTGCCCATATGCAATGCTTCTGCATCTCATGAATAATACCTTGTTGCCTTATTTTTCCTGTGTGTTTTATGACAGGTGTTTACAAAACGAAGGAGGTCAGTGATGGCAAATGAAGGCACTCCTGTCCGACTAGGAGCCGTTAGTGTCCCTTATGGGCATGTGATTGGCCATGAAAAATGGAAAGGCTCTCTGGTTGCTCAGGGGATACAAGGTAACCGTGTCAATAGAAAACAGAACATTTGTGAAAATGTAATTAAAATACAAGATCTGGATAGGGAGTTAGACTAGAATACTTTAAGCCAGATTTTTAAAGTCAGTTTTGATCTTTTGTAAGGTGCACTTGCCATGAGAGGCTGTAGCCCTAAATATAAGTGGGAGTAAATTTTATTGAAATTAATGGAACTTTTTATAAAAAATATTAATATTGGATAGGTAGACAAGGTTTCACCCGAATTCATATTTGATGCTCTCTTATAGTTATCTTGTTACTAAAATCTTGTGTCTCTTATTTCAAGGGAAAGTTAAACTAATTCTAGAAGATGGCCTGGGAGTCGTAGACTTCCATCTTTCAAACAGATCCTGTGTCCTTTATATTTCTGAAGCAGACCTGGTTGCAGGAAATGGCTTCAAAAGGAGACTTGTTCGCTTTAGAAACGTAAGTGTTGCCTGAAATAGCTGGTGTTCGCCTGACTCCCCATTTATAGAACTTCCATCAGCAAGAATGTCAGGGCAATTTTAACACAGTTCAAGGATAGAGACCTCTCTTCTACTCAGCGCACACTGATGGTACTATATCTGATGCTAAATATAGCTAGAAAACAACCCTTTCATGTAGTTTTATCTTTATCTGTCTTGTTTCAGAAAACTTGCAGTTCTTCCTGCCCCCTGGATTTGCTATCTTCATTTTCTGTTTTAATTTTATTCTCACCTTTTTAAAACTGGATGATTCACATATTATTAGTAGGTGAAGCTTTTCATATTATCTCCATACCAGGAAATGCTTTATCTGTTTGATTTCTTCATAACCCGAGATAACTGGTTAGCCACTGTTAGAAACAAGATACTGAGTGTGACACAGTGGTCATTGACGATGTTGGGTGTATCAGGCTGCTGTTAAAGGTGCAGGAGCAGAACTAGAACAGAAGTGGCAGCCATCATCTTTTAAATAA